TTGTAAGGGTGAAATCACACGGTGCGGAAAAAGACTGCGGAATAGAGAATGCGTCATTGAAGCAACCAATCAGCGCTATTGCGAATAGCGCTGAATAGCGTTGATTGGTTGCTTCAATGACGCATTCTCTATTCCGCAGTCTTTTTCCGCACCGTGCGATTTCACCCTTACACTCGCTGTAGTGGCACTGATTTGGCACGAAAATGGCGGATAAGAATACCTATATCTTTAGTGCTCTAGCCAAACTGGAGTGACTGCGAGGAGTGCCAGGACTGTCAGGAGTGGCCAGGAGTGCCAGGTATTGCCGTGTTGCTGGTGCTGCCAGGACGGGAGGGAGCCATGAAGGGAGCATCGAGGAAGCGTCGAGGAAGCATCGAGGAAGCGGGTCAAAACAAGCGATGCTCAAGCTGAACGAAGGCTCGTGTCGCGTGCCTTTGTTGGTTGCCGCTCACCGCTGTTTCGCGAGAGAGGAACGAAAGGGAGAAGCGCGTGAGATCGATTCGTTCCCAAATTTTATCTCTGCTTTTCTTCCAAGAGATATCTCCTAAGTCGCGTAATACTGAGGTTCTCCGCGGCGTCTCTTGCCGCCTGTCAAGTGTCACTCCTAATAGTCCTAATTCGAATTTCGAGCAACGACGATGTAGACATCCTCGGCCGCCGCGTGCGGGGATGTCGGCAGTGTCGGCAGTGTCGGCACGGCCACTCGTGAATCTCACCATCATCGACGACCGCAATCACGAGCAACGCAATTCCGCAAACGTACGGAATCTTATCCTTCTTGGGAGATGTCTTGCAGCGATGGCACGCGCCCGACCCGTAAGTTCGGCACAAAGTCGCCGAAGAAGCTCTGCGTAACCAAGAGCGAGAACGGTGAGAAAACCACGACGACCATCAGCTGTGCCGGCCACCGTCACAATCATCACTATCATCACGGCCATCATCGCTTCCTAGACGGCTCCTCTCAGCCCTCGGTACACAAGCGCAATCTCTACATTGTCTCCTTTCCCCTGATACTGCTGTTCAATGTCCTGCGCACTCTGCTGTATCAGTTGTTTGTGGTGTTCAAGTACCTGTATACCTCCACGTCTCAGCTGATCCAGCGCAGACAGGCGTCCAAACAAGCCTGTCAATTGGAGATTGTCGTGGGACAAAAGCCAACGGATGGTCGTTTGGTGATCAATGGTAATCGACTAGAAGGCGAGACCATGTCGCAAGTGCCTAGACGTCCTATCGGGCCAGGACCCGGGGATCCATTGCTAGCTAAGCAAAAGCACCATCATCGCAGAGCGTTTGAATTTATTAGCAAAGCGCTCAAAATCGACGAGGATAATGAAGGTATGTACATTAGGACAAGTATAATATAAATTAGGGTTTGAAGCACCTTCCTAGTAGAATTTTTATATACCTAGCTTTGATAATCTTGCTCTCCCTCTTGGTCTCCTTTGGAACAGGACAAAAAGAAATGGCGATAGAATTGTACAAAAAGGGAATTGGAGAATTGGAGAAAGGAATAGCTGTAGAATGCACTGGTGGACACGGCGAGGTATGGGAGCACGCCCAAAGACTTCACGATAAGATGTGTACGAATCTGGCAATGGCAAAAGACAGGCTCGATTTCCTTGGTTAGTACACTCGTAGTATATAACGTATTCGTTCTGCCGCACATTACCGCGTCTCTTAAGCTATTCCAAGTTTGTTTACCTATGGTACAACGACAATTTTGTTTCTTGCAAATAATAATAGTAACAATTATAATAATTATAATAATAATAATAGATATGTACATCCACTTTATTTGGCAACAGTGTCCACAGGTAAATCTTTGGCAATGGCAAGAGAAAGAATTTCGATGTGTACTTGGCATGCTCGTGTGCAATTTATTTTAATTTTTTCGAAAAATACGCGCGTACGTGCATGCGTGCGTACGCGCGCACGCGTGTACGTATGTGTGTATGTACGCATGCCCGCGTATAATTATAATTTCCTACATTATTTACCTTGAGCACAAGTCAATCTTTATTTTGCATTTTTTGCATTTCTATTCGAAGGAATGTAAATCAAAGAAAAATTGGCGCGAATCTATGTCGATATTAAGTACTGAGAGCAAAAAATATTTAAAAGCCCAATCTCATTACATCTCACGCGGCAGCATTTTATTAACGATCGAAACGCGTGCTTTTTACTCCGAGACGAGACATTTAGCGATATCGGCATTTTGTTACGTACTTGCGCGATACGACTGAAAGATCAGCCTGATTTTCTTTTTTAGCTGTCTATAGCCTTACTGCAGCATGGCAGAGTATGTTTTTTTCCTTTTTGTAGTGAGTGTGCGTGAGCTGAGAAAGCTGGGTATCAACAATAATATCAACAATCGCGCACCTGGAAATAAAACGGACGGCGAACATCCGGGAAAGCATCTGAGGGCTCGCCGCAACACGCACACTTTTCAAAACGCTCGAACTTCATCCAACATTAGTCACAATAAGAACACAAACAATATACACACGACAATTAACGCTGGACAGACTATGTGTACCCAGATTCCCAAGTTAAGGCCACGTTCACCAAAAAACTGTTTCGCTCATACTATTGAAGGTATTGTTTGCCTGAAATTCTGGGCTTGAGTGCGAAAGAAAGTCGAATGCAATGAAATAACACAGTAATGCTATTTAGTCGTTGTTCATTTAGAAGAGATATTTGTTTTGTCGTAGCTGTATACACATCTCTCGTTTGACACATCGTCATGTATGTACAAGGATGAGTTGAGGTAGAGTAGATGAATGTGGGCTTGCCTTAATTGCTTCTTTGTGTTTTTTAAACGTAGATTTTTAAATACTGCTGCATTTCACTTATTACGATAAAGTTTTTCGTAAAGTGCTTTATAAGTAAATTTACAACATTTATACGTTACTTATCAAATAAACATCAAGGCTGCGTTCCATTTCACGCATGATGTGCATGATGCATCATTTATCCTTGTTTAACATTCGGTGAATAACAAGGATAAATGATGCATTATGCACATCATGCGTGAAACGGAATACACCCCAAGACAGATTAAACGTACGATCAAACGTACATATACACTATCATGTTATACCTACATATACTTCACACATGTTCACAATCACATATTTAAAAATGATGTATAATTTTTTTCATAGATTTAATATTTATGCAATTTAGTGATAACTAAAGATAATGTATGACGAGGCGATGTATCTGTTTATTTTTCTTTAAACTTTCAAATCGAAACAAAAGTTTAAAAAAATCAATATATTTTTTAACATATTATACATACATTAAAAATACATACATTAGAATTAAAGACTCTTGTTTGCTAATTAATATTAATTACACCTGTCGCATGAATATCGCAAACGTAACTTATTTTGTTCCGTTGAATTTTACATTGCATTTTATTAAATTATTATTCTGCTTTCAACTGAAGCGAGACACCACACGATACACTAATGTAATGCAATTGTAACTTTATTAGAGGGTACAAATAGTGAGAAGTATTTTTTATTTGAATATACATAAATCCTAATATGAAATTAATTAGTTTCAACGATTTAATTATGTTATTAGTGAGGTAACATATCACTGTTGCGATAAACATTTTTAGTACGCTCCTACTATTTATTACTAAATCGAACGATACAGATAACAATATTGGAAATATATCTTTTTTTGGCTGTAAAAATATTTTTTTCTTACTTTTACCTTTGCGATAGACCCTCTTATCCATTAGACTGATACGCAGGATCTGTCTTTAATCACAACAACTTGTAGCGATTCTTTTACATCATTAAATTGCATTAAATTGTAAAAATTATCCTTTTTAAGATTTATTTCTAAGAACAGGCATTGTTTCAGCATCTGGTAGGAAACTATCGGTCCCTGGTAAAAGAATAACAGGAACACCCCTAAGTAAGAGCCAGACATTGCCTCGAAGTATGGGTAGATCGATGCCTATTCAACCTTGCCACCGAACCATGCCTATCAAACCGTCCTCCACACCACCCTCTGTAAAAAGACAACTGTCTGTACCGGGCAACGGTTCACCTATAAGACGTCCAGGAACACCGACCACTTCGAACAGTAACAGGAGCACACCAACGAGAAAAGTACCCATTTTAAAAGGCGTAGATCCAAAACTCGCGCAAGTGATTCTCGACGAAATCTTGGAAGGAGGAGCACCAGTGCAATGGGAAGACATTGCTGGCCAAGAGGTATGTCACGATCGAATTATCGTCATTACTATCGTTGCTCGATGCTGATTATATTGCGAGAGAACATTGTCTCCATCGATTCCTAATTATCTTGCTAAATAGATAGATAGATAGATAAACATTTATTTCTTGCCTTACAGCTTTGAAAGAAGTTCTTACGTTGATCTAATATAGATTTTCTTAACATATAAATACTTTTTCTGGCAAAAGATTTTAGTTGATTAGATTTATTTTTCGCTCTATATCATCCTTAATTGAGTTATTCCTGTGCTATTTTTTTATCTCTACTATACATTTTGTCCCTAAATGTTCCAAAATTTCAACTTTGCTATGGCACAGACTATATTACATACAAATTTTAAAAATTTAAGAAAAAGAAATTAGTGTAGGGGGTATTTTTTTTTAATTTAACATATTTCAAAAATATAATCATGTCGTTACAAAGTACTTTCAACCACGAAACTTTTGTTTGAAACATTTTCTTATATTCCCAATTTATTTCCGAGATATTCGCTTAGAAACGTAAAAATCAATTTTATTCTAAAACTGTATATCAACTAAAAAAATTTTTTTCGTGATTCGGTCCATCTACTCTAAATTTATGCAAAACTTCAAATTTTTTTTTTATTTTACACCTACCGAACTTCCCTCGTTAGTCTAAACACTTTCCAGCTACACGTGTGTGTTACTTAGCTATCTCCGTTTTGCAATTCCCCCTTGCTAAATATTTTCGTTCAATTTTAATTTTCAGACCGCAAAGCAGGCTTTACAAGAGATGGTAATCCTACCATCGCTAAGACCTGAGCTATTTACCGGTCTGCGAACACCCGCGAGAGGATTATTATTGTTCGGGCCACCAGGAAACGGAAAGACATTGTTGGCGCGTGCTGTTGCGACTCAATGCAATGCAACATTTTTTTCAATCTCTGCAGCTAGTCTCACGTCGAAATATGTTGGAGAGGGTGAAAAATTAGTGAGAGCTCTGTTTACCATTGCTCGAGAGTTTCAGCCCTCTGTTATTTTCATCGATGAAGTGGATTCATTATTGAGCGAGCGTAAAGATAACGAACACGAAGCTTCGAGGTATATCTATTCGTGTATTCTCTCTATACATAAGCACACACACACACACACACACGCGCGCGCGCGCGCACGCGCGCACACACTCACACTCTCACTCTCACTCTCACTCTCACACTCTCACACTCACACACACACTCACACTCACACACTCTCACTCTCACTCTCACTCACACACTCACACACTCACACACTCACACACACTCATACACTCACACACTCACACACTCACACTCACACTCTCTCTCACTCTCACTCTCACTCACACTCACACTCACTCACACTCACTCACACTCACTCACTCACTCACACTCACTCACACTCACTCACACTCACACTCACACTCACTCACACTCACTCACACTCATACTCACTTACACTCACTCACACTCACTCACACACATTCACTCACTCACACACACTCACTCACACTTACACTCACACTCACACTCACACACTCACACTCACACTCACACTCACACACTCACACACACATACACATACATACACCACACACAGTCGAGGCTAAATTTTGATGTCTAATCATATTTTTATACATAAATTCTAATACTTCTTTTAATCATATAAACTGCACGCCAGACTTACTGTCAGACTTGAAACGAAATTATATAAACTAAAGCTAAAATAATATCGCAATTAAATTGATCATTTGATAATGATGCTACTAGCATCTTCAAATATTGTAAAATATTACTTCAGTCAGGATTCAAATCTGGAACCTTCAAATTATTCGAGGCCGGTATCTTTTTTAGTGATAGAATTAGAAAAGTCATATGCTCGTATTCATAGTCAGACCTTGTACTTAAGGCTTCCTTAAATTTATCTTTAGATGCTCAGTAGCCAATGAAATCATTCGTGGAGCATCTAAAGATAAATTTAAGGAAGAGCCTTAAATATAAGGCCCGATTATGAATACGGGTCATAGTTTCGAATAGATGGGAGATGTGAATTTTGGTAATATTTTTCTCAAATACAGCAGTCTAATTAATTTATTATTGTGTGTGCGCGCGTGCGTGTGTAGATAGCATGGACATAGTGTTGATGGGAGAAATGTGTATTTCAGGAGGCTAAAAACAGAATTCTTAGTCGAATTTGATGGTTTGCCATGCAATCCAGAAGAAAGAGTGCTCGTTATGGCTGCTACAAATAGACCGCAGGAATTAGATGAGGCTGCATTAAGGCGATTTACAAAACGCGTATATGTTACGTTACCTGACTTGCAGACGAGAATTGTGTTACTCCGAAGACTCTTGGCCAAACACAATGATCCATTGACGCTCGAAGAGTTGAATGAGATGGCAGTTTTGACGGAAGGATACTCGGGAAGCGATTTAACTGGTCTAGCTAAAGATGCAGCACTTGGGCCTATTAGAGGTAATACTGAAAATTCCTTCTACTTATTTTCAATTTTATATAATATTATGAGTGAAGATATGCAATTTGGCCACTCATTTTATATAGCACCTTACAATCCTACAAATGTGTTCTATCAGTTTAATGAATATATTCACGCATACTGTCTCTAGTATTAGAAATTAATTTTATATTTATATACCACACAAGTGTCAATTCTATTTAATTTATTCAATTGTGTCAAGTCTAACAAAAATATGAAGAAAATTCCATCAAATTTATGTTGTGTCTTGAAAGTATAGAAAAGATCTGTTACCTGTGCAATTTCAATATATGTTATTATATTATTCTCAGAATTGAATCCAGATCAGGTGAAAGAATTGGATCTTAATTCCGTTCGTAATATCACAATGCAAGATTTCCGTGATTCTCTAAAGAGAATTCGTAGATCCGTTTCACCGGCAAGTCTAGCTGCCTATGAGAAATGGAACTTTGAGTATGGAGATGTGAGTCTTTGATTTGAAATAAGCCGCTTGAGCAAGAGGCTCTAGAAAAATTTACGTTTCAGTTGAATTTAAACTGCAAAACGTGTGTGATTAGAGAAATATTTCAAACTATCGCGAAACCATGTAAAAAAATCATATAATATCGAATGTCGACGCAATAGTACAATTCTCATATTTTCATTCTATCTTAGAACAATATTATTGTTTACAAAAAAGATGGTAGTAAAAAGTTAAACAAGAATTTGTTCTTTAAATCCTATAACACACTTTTGTCTTGGTAATGAAAAATCAATATATTTAAGGTTATTGTTATTTCACTGAAGTCGTATTTCACTTACAAATTCACTAACTGTCCGATCTTCATTATGATTTAACAATGACAGTAGAGCGATCTTTTACAATAAATAAAACTATTTTCAGGGAATGATTTAATATCAAGTCTTAAAAAAATATCGCATTTATTTTATGAAATATAATACTCCATGTGTTCTATATGTTATATCCAGTGATCACACATTACAATTTACGGTACAATACGTAGCTTTAATGTTATCTTTAAGTTTAATACTAAAGAAACAGTATTTATTGTTTATGTTTATTTATGTATGTATATGTTCATTATCTTTACGATTTACATAGTTTTTTTGTGTAATAATTGATATTTGAAATCTTTGATGCAATGCTATTTATTTTACAACAATTTGCATTTAATACCAGAATGTTGATTATCGAACGAACAACTAACGTGTAATACTTGCAATTAAAAGAAAATATGCATTTAAAAGAATACATGATTGAGCACAGAGAATCTGCAATTAGAGGGAATATATCTTTTTAAACTTGTAAATACTTTTAATTATTGTTTATAAAATTGACTAGAGCAAGTTGAACACAATGGCATGTTATAATCCGATTCATTATTGCAAAAGTAGAAAGACTACATTTGCAAATGGAACAGTGCACGTCCAATCAGATAATAAAAAATAAGGTCTATCAATTTATATGCAGTACATATAAGAAGAGGATATTATATGTAATTGCGTAATTACTACATTCGTGCGATATGGTAGAATATACACATACAAATATGCAAACAGATATCTCTGTAAAATCGAGCAAAAAAATTCACTTTATGCGTTGATTTTATATAAAATGCACTAAAAAGTGTATCTTCAAATAAAGTTGATCTTCAAGCGAATTAAACTTGTTACGTTTGATACTATTTCGAAGATATGTTTGATATTTATTAATATAATGCGTGTTAAACTTGCGCTGGACTATGTACGATTCGTGATTCGAGGCAGTTTGAAATTCGCAATTTGGTACTTGTATGAGATTTACGAATAGTGATATATTCGTCAAGTTCACATTTGTCATTTATACCAAATTTATCATTCATACCAATTCACCAACGGAAAAATATTTTTTTTTTATGAAATCAAGGGACGTGAATCATCACGAATCGCACATAATTTAACACAAGCTTTAGAAATCACGCGTCCATCATGACGCACAGAACGTGTAAAGGTAAAGAAATATGATCTGGGAAAGGAGAATGCGAAATTCTGTTTTAATATAAAATTCTATAAGACAACGAACTGAGAATTCAATATATGCTATATTATGAAATCCTAAGCATTTATATCTATAAGGAATTATGTATAAGCTCGAAAAACATTGCTATCGTATTCACAAAAAAATGAATTTGCTAATATATGTGTATGTATATGTCACAGTCAAAGTGTCAACTCAATAAATGTATACACTTACTCTAGTCTGCTGTAGAATGTATATATTTACTGTACATAAATGTATACATTGATTAGTAAGAGTGTATGCATTTATTAAAGTTAACATTTTAACTGTGACATATACGTACACTCATACATATACACGTGTATGTGTACACACACACACACACACACACACACACACACACACACACACACACACACACACACACACACACACA